AGGCGCCCGGCCAGAAGACGCTCCGTCTGAAACGAGCACAGTATCTATACCCCATACAGCCTAGAACGCTATTGCACCGAAAGCGACTCATGAAGAATGCATCAGCCTTTGGCGACCTTACAGATGTGGTCGGCGCCATAATGCGAGGAAGTGAAAGAATTCTTTGCTTCTCTGGATCTTCATGGTCGCCTTCAAAGCCATGTTCGTCATCTTTATTAGAAGAGTAGGCAAGACAATGGTGGCTATATGTGATCAAGGGTAAACCACTCCAGGAGTACATCCGGAGTACGGAAGAGCTCTGAAATGCGTTGCGATTCAGTGTTATCATCGCCTCGGCAACGGACAGGCTATGGCAGACTGCTGACAGCCTAAATACAACAAGTCGTTGGTAAGGCGATACATCGATACGCGTCAGTCCTTGGTCAATATATGTACGACGGTCGAAACGGAGATTTTCTTATAAATATTTCATAAGAGAGCTCCAGGGATGAGGCAACCTGTAAATTTCTGGACACAGGAGAGGTAACTACGAGGTGGAAGGGTGGGACCAGCTGAGATGGTGAAAAATTACACACTGTAGCGAAAAGAAGTCACTTTTATTCCTGTAGATGGGAAGAACGAAGGCGGGCGGCCGAATTGAACCAGCCACCAGCATACTAGTACAGCAATTTCGGCTTTGCGCTCAGCAGAGTTTTCCAAAGCGGCTTCGTTTCCTTCCTTCTGCAGAGTGGCTTTACAATACAACAGTTCACGATTCTAGCAAATGCTCCCCGGCTTCCCGCGCCTACGCCGCAACACTTTGGCGTGACGGGATCTTGCAGCTGGTTAGTGGAAGCCAGCCCAAAAAGGCCTCTGCAGACTTCAGCATCGAGCTTGCATCTGATTCCAAATGTTTGAAGAAAGGCCATACACGCCAGGGAAGAAACAACGGGAAAGGAGATTTGGCAGTCACTTTCAACTGCGGAGATTCGTTTTTAGTGAATTCGCACGCTCTGCGAAGCGCAGAGAATGGCAACCACCCGAAGAAACAATTTTAGGAGAGGAGACACTCTTTATAAAACTTTGGCTTTTGGGATTGGTTGCTTTGGCCGTTGAAATACGCAACTTTAGGCTTCTACGGTTCCAGTTTTTGCCGCGTGAGGCTAGGAGACAAGAGGTGCCCATCCGCCCAAGATAATCTGCAAAAGGGAGATATATCTCCTCAAATCGGCCGTCTATGCTATATGTTTTGGTAAATTGACCGTCTACACTTATATGGTAATGGCAAAGCAGCGGGATAGACAGAGAGCTCGCTCATCAGGAGCACTCTTCTCTCCTCCAGCTCCACGGCTTTATCACTTGTCACAACATAGTGCGGCGGGACACAGGAACCTTCCTGAACTCATCTGGATAAGCCTTTCGGTGATTAAGTTGCCTCTGGGGCTTCACTCGGGGAGAGGAAATAGTTCAGCAACCGTTCTGCGCAGCCGGTGATAGGGGTGGGGTCCAGTCCCTGATGCCCCTGGTATGAGAAACTTCCCTTCATAAGGGCCAGTCTAGGGGGAATTTTGGGAATTGCATCCCTATTATGCCTCACAATTGTGTTTTTCATTTGCGTTTGTGTTGTCGTTGCGGGCACAAGACGCAGAGCTGCTGGCATTGACTGCTGCATCTACTGAAGTGAGTGGGATCACGTTCCGAGGGCCATATGAAGTTCCCTCTCAGTATGGGGTGATGCGAATCCATAATATTAGAGGCATTGCGGGCCTAGTAAGCTGATCTGATGTGGTGAGAACCCTCAGTCCCTCACATGCTATGCTGAGAACTGTTCAAGATAGCGTAGAGTATTTCTCTTTAGTATAAATATTTGCAGTAAGCTTTACCTATTACTAGGTTGTATCTCTGAATGACTACTGTGGGGCACCTCCACAGAACCCCACAGCTGAGTATAGCGATCGGCCAGGCAATAACTATCATACTGAGACAACAGCATAACAAACTAACAAAGGTTAAAGGAAATTACTTCTCTCAGTTTCTTCTCCAAAATGGTTCTGTTCTGCACCCCCACTAGAGCAGGCACTGCGGCATTTGGGGCTGGGAGAGGCGACGGCGTAGCTTGTTGCAATACATTTTGCACCAAGTCACATGCCAGCCTCTCCTATACTCATACCACTGGTCACTTCATAAAGAATGCTTAATGCATTAACCAATGTTATACTCAATGTACATCAATAAGCACTCAGGCACTTCCACCGTTCATACAACCCTCACTCATTTCACAACGAGCACGGCATTGTTGCCGTGATTGTAGTGAGTATTCACAATACCTGCGATTTCCAGGACTCCAAATCCTCCTTACTTGTTACACTTCCGCGCGTTTCGCACAGTTGGGATCTTTGCTGTTTTTTGTCTGTTCAGGGAGTAGGCGTGCATTGTAGACGCGTACCGCAAGTGGAAATGTCACCACATTATAAATACCAGCCC